TTAATTCAAAAATGAGTGCAGAGTTGACATTATGCTCATAATAATTCAGGTAGAAAGAGGGATGACCATAGACACCACGACTATCACATTTCTACCTGTTGTTCTGGACCAAATCATTGCAACCATATGCGGTAGCTAGAGCGGAACCAAATCACGGCTTTTGCTTGTCTGGGTAGTGGTAACTGACTTTTTTTTTAGGTAAATTATAAAATTAAGTATAAATTTAAAAAAGTTTTATAAGAAATTAAAAATAATTAAGTTTTAATGTCTAATTTTTTTATATTATTAAATAACCAAGAAATATCCACTCTATAAAAAATAAAAGGTGTATATTTTGTTCATTCTTCCTTTAGTTTAATAAAAAATTATTATAATTAAGTTTATGTTTGGGATTATTGTAAAGTATTAAAATTGTGATCTGATTTTTTTTTAATGTTTTATTATAAGAAAAACTATGTCATTGTTTGATTATTATTTTTAAAAAAATTTAAACATTAATATGATCATTGAATTATATAAAATATTAATTAAAATAAATTAATATTTTTATAAAATATTTATAAGAAAACATTAATCGTAGAAAACAAACGAATGCCAATCGAAACCTAAGTCTCTTAATTAGCTATTCTTAACTTCCTAAAAATATTTATTAAATTAAATTTATTTTTATATTTTAATTAAAAAATAATCATTACCACCAATTATATATGCAAACATGACTTTATAGGACATTACTTTTTTTTTTTCTTTTGTCATATATTCCTGAGAAGAAGATGGCTTCATTTGGTAATTCTTCAGTCTATATAATAATATTTTAGTTCCAAATATCATAACCAATTTTATAAATAAAAACCTAAATTTCTGACCTAACAAACGATTGCAATGGTTCGTCTCCCCCATGAATTCATATATGAATATTGCGAGAAGAATGTAACATAAGACCAAAAAGAAATATATATTAATGGATTGATCATCTGCTACGCCGCCTGGTGTTGGTGGTTCACATTCTTATTCTATCCATGCAGGTTACGTAACCTATGAGAATATAAAATCAAGGTTTGATTTGGAAGGGCTTGGAGCAACACAATATTATAAATGTGCTTAGTTTATCTTATTTTATTGATTTATATTAATTAGTTATTAAGTGTGTTTAAAAATATTAATTTATAAATTCATCTTAAATTATTAAATAATAAATTTTAATTATTTTATTAAATATAAATTATAAATTACAATCACCAATTAATCCTAACAATTAAATTAATATAATTACAATTTTTTCTGTGACCCTCACAATTAATTATGGGGCCATATCCATGACTGTCTGGGAGTATTTTACTATATTGTGTGGGTCAGTATTTTTTTGCCTTCTATAGAAAATATATAATATTAATTAAAATTATTAAAAATAAATAAATAATAATAAAAATTAATTAATTATAATAAAAATATACTTTTAGATCATGTGTTGTGTAAAAAAGTCTTGTGTACAACACTTCCAAACAAACACTAATTTTGTGTTTAGAAATTTTGTGCAATGCTATATTGTGGTTGGGACTGTAATTCTAGAGTGGTGTTTTATGCTGTCACAAGAAGTATAATTTTTTTTTTTGTAAAATAATTAATACATACTTA